AATGAAATAGTAAATCGATTTCTGGCTGTCTGAGGCATAAGCTTGTGACACTAACCAGTGCAATCAGAATGGATAAAGCAATCATTCAGTTTTATGAAAAGATACAGACCTCACGGTCATAAAGAACTGATTTATTTGACGAAGAGAAATATATGTGTCAGCACTATGATAATGCATTCTTTGAAACAGCTTCGTATCAGGTGACAGGCTAGTGGGAAGAAACCACAAATGCTTAAACGCAAGCTTGCGACAATAACTATTATGACTCGAACATACTTACATGTTGCATTGTAAAAGCGTGTCTATCGCATTATGCAATTCTTATAATCGTACGGGTATTACTGCTTACTCTCGTTATAAATGAACAATCTTCTTATACAATTTATTGCTGTATAGTAAATTACTGTGATTATTTTTATATATGGTATCAGTTTAAAAGAAATTTTATCATTTAGTCATTGTGATATGCTTTTGATATCTCAAATTTTTATACATTCGATGCATTCTTTATGCTTTCTGCATATCCAATTCTTCTATTCATAAAATCTGCGAGCTAGTATCATGCATACGATAAAAGTGCATGATTCATTTGCAACTAAACGAGAAAAGTTCATGGTATGGAAATAATTCAGACCGTCGGCAAATATTTTGTGAATAACTTTTGTTCCTGTAATCGAGTAATCTAAATATTAGTGAGGCGTGGTTAATCAACATTTGCACATCTTTTTTCATACAATATTGAATTTGATAGATAATGCACCCAGTTTTCAGAACTTTATCTCCCAGACGAGTGTACTGATAATGTTTCTGCTTTCTTTCATTGAAAGTTTAAAATATTTAGTACACTATATTTAGTACACTAGACAGAATTTTTATCCAAACTGGATTATTTTTTTACATTCGATGCATTCTTTATGCTTTCTGCATATCCAATTCTTCTATTCATAAAATCTGCGAGCTAGTATCATGCATACGATAAAAGTGCATGATTCATTTGCAACTAAACGAGAAAAGTTCATGGTATGGAAATAATTCAGACCGTCGGCAAATATTTTGTGAATAACTTTTGTTCCTGTAATCGAGTAATCTAAATATTAGTGAGGCGTGGTTAATCAACATTTGCACATCTTTTTTCATACAATATTGAATTTGATAGATAATGCACCCAGTTTTCAGAACTTTATCTCCCAGACGAGTGTACTGATAATGTTTCTGCTTTCTTTCATTGAAAGTTTAAAATATTTAGTACACTATATTTAGTACACTAGACAGAATTTTTATCCAAACTGGATTATTTTTGAGAAACGAGTTCTTCGCTTTGGAATATATTTAGATACGTGTATTAAAATTTTTATTGGTCGTATGAATAAATACGTATTTACACAGATATTTAATTATCGCTACATATGGATATCTGTAGTTCGTAAATTTTTAGAAGGAAAAATATGCAAGTAAAATTTTGATAGAAAAGTCAGAAGGTAGTAGGCTTAAGGCGATGCTGACGGTCAGGGCCGATGAGCATTGGTTCAACGATCGTTCCGCGAGCGAGTCTTGATTTATGCGCGCAACGCCTACATAATTCATATTACTTAGATACAGTAACAGTTCGAAGCCAGCAAAACGTTTCGCAGCAGGAAGTTTTACTGATCGCGGACCTCTCTGGCCCGCTTTCTTTTCGTCCGTTCGTTAACGAATAAAGCTGATTTGAATAAATCACTCTGATTACTGATACTAGACATTGTCCGACCGAGATCGTCCATCATCCAACTTAGGTATCCATACTCCTCGCTTTTCATTATCTTGACGCTCCGTTGCTTTCTTTCATCCTGGCGTTCTACCATCGTTGGCGTTAAATGCCGTTCTCGATAAACCTGTTCCAACGCGTTTTAGCGTGTCAGATAACCGAAAGAAAGTGCTATTCATCGCACTCGGATTTACAATCTAAAGTTCACACGATTATTCAAAATAAAATAATTTTATTATGCATACAGATCTTTGATCTTTATCAGTGAATTTTATTTCATGCAATATTGAACTAAACCACAGGTTTTTATGTAAAGTAAAATATATCTTGCAATCTACATATAAAAGAGTATTCATATTGCGAAAAGGTAGACGTATCCAAGTTTAGGAAAAACAATAAAAATTGCTAACCCTCGGTAACCCCTCGGACGGATTGGTTCTCGTGACCTCTCACATGGAACAAATTCCAAGTAATTCGTGTAACCAGCTGAAGATATCGATCTGCCGAATGTCCATCTGGTGCGAAGGGATGCGTGTAGCAACCGGCTGTCACGCCCATTTTCTAAGGGTACAATCGATAATAGTTTGTTCGGTACTCACCCACGAATTTCCACTGACACGCACAACATACCGTAAATGATAGACTGTTGTAAAAATATTCTACATTTCTTTTTAAGGAATTAAGGACAATTAAAAAATTGTTTTATAACAAGAAACAGGTTGGAAGTTATGTATTTATTTCATTACAACTGAATTGATTTTATGGAATGAAGCAATTTTAAATTAATAGTTTATGTAATAATTTTATTTCTCATTAATTCTTATCATCGTATCAGCAAACGATTGTTGATCGTATAAAATTCTGTATCTCGGAGAAAATCTAAAATTATGACTTCTGCAAAGAAATTCGTGGCATTCACGTGACTCATAGTTACATATCCGACCAGTTTGTTCGCCCCCAACTGTTTCTACGAGTTTCCAGAAACGTATCACGGTCAGGCACAAATAATATAGAATAAAGGGGGCTGATGTTAACACAACCGTCTATTGTCCAACCGCTGTTGCATTACCATGCCACGTGTAATCCAATATTTCCGTGTAATTTAGACTCTTCTCGTCTGTGCAGTACGTTGCACGCTGAAATGGTAATTTCTCACCCCGATGTTAGCACGTTCTTTCGTTCCACGAACGTTTTTCACATTTGCTGCGTTCAACCATACGGTTTACATCTTCTTCTCGTTCGTTTCCATTGCATAAAATGTTCACAGAATGATTAATAAAATTCGGTAGGAGGAACGTCATTTTTTTTTTTTAAGAAAAGACTTGACACACTCTGATGCTTGTAAGAATTATAATTTCATGTTCACGTTGATTACCTATACTTTACGCATGATCGATATATCGACACATCCTCAGGCAGTGAATAGAATAGCTACCATTCATAAAGAGGAGGAATCATATTGGGAAATTGATTCCGATTACACGTTGCAGCCTGCCAGTGCAACAATATTCCAGTGAACGAGGCATTTACCCAGCAAATGGACGTTGAATAATCTACGATGGGTATTCCTGTCGCGATTTACGCATACAGAAGAAACAGTCGTTAACGGTGACAGCTCATTTCCATGGAGATTAGATCGCGTCGCGTCTGATTTTGCGTTAGTTTATGTCACTTTTTGTAACGGGTAATGACAGTCTACTGTTAATGATGCACGAAGGGATTAATGTCCCGTTACTCGTCACCGGGTTAGATGTAGATTCTATCCTTATTTTAACGATAGGAATCCTATTAATAGAAACTGTTAATATTCCATATATTTACATATTGACTTTTTTATAAAAAGAACTTCATTTTAATTTTTTTTTGTTTGATTTTGATTCAGTCTCTCTCATTAGTATATACATAAAATGATATGAAACACAATTGTACATTGATAAATTAAATTAAATAGATTCATGAGCAGACTATAGATCTATAAATTCTATTCATGAGTATTGCTTTTAAATTTGAGAAAATCAATACCTTCGTATTGTATATTCGAGCTGGATATTTAATGATTTATCGATCACCTCGCTACGCTGCCGTTTGTTTCTTAGCGAAGCGTGGCTGCTGTGAAATTAATTTTTGCCTCGATCCATCAAGCGGCTCGCGGTCTGAATTACTTCGGACCGGCGGCGCGGCGGGGAAAAAAGAGCGAGTAAGTTCTCCGGGAGAAATAATCGGGAGAAAGATGAAAGTTAGCCGATGGGAAAGCAGACTGAGGGAAATTAATGACGGGAAAAGGGTGCTGGTGTGGCGCGGATGCTTTCCGTCGCAATGAAGTCACCGAGACCGAAATCGGGGAGCCAGGGACGGAATGCTATATAGAGTATATAGAGGGAAAATAGAAGAAATGCGTTGGGGTAAAGTAGACGGGGTGGGAACGTGAAACCAACGCAGACGTGCCGCGTAGGTCAATGCACTTGCATTCCCGAACGTTTCGCCGTTTCACTCTACGCTCCATGTTAATAATTTTCATTAATTTGCATCGTACCTTGTAATCAAAATTAATACGATATTTCATAGAGTAATTGTTCCAATGATTAATACGATGTTTCATGTTATGATTCATATAATGGTTGATACAATGTTTAATACAATTATAAATATGTATTTACAATATACGATGAGTTTGATATTTTTAATGCTAAATTATATGAATACTGAATATGAATGGATGAGAGGAATAAAATGATACGTTTTGCGTGAAAGATTAGAAGGAAGTATTACGATCTGATGGATTAAGAAAAGTAATCGTATTCTCATTTCAATATGTAATTCAAAACTTGTTACTTATTTTCAATATTTTGTACATACACGTATTTAGAGTAATTGTTTGATTTCTTTATTTCGTATTCGTTCTCTTACAACATTCTTTCATTTGTAAAATTGTTCTTCCACTCGTTATGTAAAATTGTCATCGTTGTCCCTCATTGTATTAGATTTCTATCTTGAAATCTTACATCACGCGACAGATCGGTATAATAATAATTGCAGTTGCGCAATCTTACTGAACGTGTATTCGGATGAATCACTACTGCATCAGTAATCAAACCCTGATTCATACCTTATAAATATCTGGTATTCAATGCTGTGAAGAAGAACGGTTTATCGAGATTTTGATAAGAGATCTCGAATTAATTGCAGAGATGCAAAGATGTTCAAACGAATGAAGTCTGATGATTTCACCTAACAGGTAATTGCCTTCTTGTTTCAGACGGGTATAAACGCGCGCACCAAATCCTGCTGCAGTGGGCGAAGCACGCGGGTTCGAAGGACAACATCACCGTGGTCGTGGTCCTGTTAACCCCAGCGAGCGTGATCGCAGCCAGGCCCCTGTACGTCCATCCGTACCGCAGTCCACAAGTGAATGAGATACTCGAGAAAATGAACTCGAAGGACAAACCGTTGTTCCTAGACATCGACGACGCGCATAACGCGATCAACTCGAACATCCTGAAGCAGACGATGATCGGGCAGGAACCGCGTGACGACGACGGTATCCTCGCCGCTAGTAACGGGAAACACGAGAACGGTGACGCGGATTACGATTACTCCGATCTCGGCCCCGAGACCGATGTAGACGCTATCGACGACGTGCCGCCCGTGATGCCTGTCAAGAATCTCTCATACGAATTTTACAAAGACAATGACGATGACGGATCTAACAGAGACTCGAACCTGCTCGACAATATGAACGTAGACGAATCGGCGAATACTAACTTCAACGCGAACGCTAATACCGTTCACGGAGCGATGATTGATAATAATTTGCGCGAAGATGATGACGAGGACGAGGACGACGACGAGGACGAAGACGAAGACGAAGACGATGACGTGCGCGAACGGAAGGACAATGACATCCGCGGAGACGTATGCGATGAAATCGCGTTGTCGAGAACCATACGCGACGGGATTGTCGAGAATATTCACGGAATAATTCACGAGGAAATGGACAACAGAGTTCGCGAACAGCTCAACGACGAGGAAGCGAGGAACGACGAGGTACGCGTGGACGATCTGCAGGACGTCGTCGACAAAGCCGGGCCTGTGGACTACGACGACTCTCCGCCCTCGCTGCAGGCTAACAGTAAGTGTGAACAAAGTAAATCGCGTTTATATCGGGAACCCGGTTCGAACTGCGTCGCCAGGTACGCGTTCCTATTCGGAAAGTTCTTTCTGTTGAGTTTCATGCCGGTCTATGATTTCTCCAGTTTTTAACGGAGATCTCTTATCTTGCAATATCGAGTGAAACTTATTTTCAGATCTGATCCATCGCGACTGTAAAGTCCATGAAATGTTTTCGATTCAAATCTATATTTTCAGTCACTTTTTACTATGAACTGAACAGAGATTTAAAGAATTAATGTGATACGATGTGATAAGTAATGTAATTGAATCAGAGGTAATTCATCGGTACTGTGTCTGTCTGTAAATTATTCAATAATTTACGTCACGTCAGTTTTCCAAAAATGGCAAGTGTCCCAAGGTTTCTGAACCGACGGTGCATGCGTTGCGACATGTATCGGTGTAGGAAGTAGAAGGTCGCGTCAGAAACGCGAATGTAATTTAAGTATTATCTATTTACAAACTGATCTTATTTAAAGGCAGTTCTATCGGTTTCGTTCTTCGATGAAACGTGCAGGATTAGATTAGCATCGATTAGGATAAGAGATTTTTAATTCTCCCTGGGAAAGTTGTAAAGAATTTAATAGTTCAAATTAATACAGCAATACAGTTGATTCGATGAAACCGAGAAGAAAGTAAGCAGCGGAAATTTTGATTGATTGATATTTTTAGCTGTTCAACTTGATTCGAATTTCACCGAATCGATCATATTCTATCAATCAAAGTGAAAGGTTCACAATGGAACCTTTTCCCCTAAAACGCTTTTGCAACAACAAATTTAATCAGAGAGATGGATAGCTCAAATGTATTACTAATCAAGTAGCTGCACATGTGTGTGCCAAATACCAAGTGCATAAAATAATTTATTATCGATATAATTCTGTACATTGTATTTTGTAATATTTATTTAATTAACAACTAAATCTTGAAATATTTGTTTATCGCTGGGTAGGACTGATCTCGATATTTTTATCCGCGCTGCTCATAAATATGAATGTCAAACGTGGGATGTTCGAACTGTTACATTACACGTTCTTTCCATCGGAACCCGGCCCACTTTCCGCTGCACTTCGACTTTCACCACCTTGTGCCAGTCACTGCACTTCCTGCACTGATTGTCATCCGCCTCGCAGAACCGGCACTCTTCTTCCTAAGCCAGAGTCTTCCCTATCCCCTTCCGCCCTCTTTTAAGTCTTGTTTCCTGTCCTCTGCGAATGCTTCGTCAAACGAGTCCCTTCAATTTCCCTCTTCGTGGTACGTAGATCTTTAAACGAACTAGGATTCTTAGAAATATATTTTTCAAAAATGCAACTTAAATAGGATTATAAATAAAGGTTTTTGTATTCAAAACGAACAGCAAACGTCCAGATCATTGCTAATTTGTGTTACAAAAAAGGTCTGTGGTAAAAGTTCAAATACTTTCGTGAGTCATTGAATTTATTCTTATTCAGCGTGCAACAAGAAAAAGAAAGCATTGCCGAGTGTTTTCTTGAAAGAGGCACGATATTAAAAAAAGGCGAACCGTCATGACACTTACGTGCCAAAGGAGTCACGTACGTTGTTCATGTATCCGAGCAGTTATTCACTGCACCACGCCCCTCTTTCCATCTATCTAAATTTATCTTAGCGTGCAGCCAGCCGCAAGGCCGTTTTTCTCCTGTTACGACCTCCACGAATTTTCCTAATATTTATTTAATCCTCGTTCGTTCAATAGAATATTCGCCTTAGAATTTCGTCAGGGCTATAAACTAAGATTCATAACTAGACTTCGGTTTTTTTACATGAAATAAAACATGTAAATTGCTCAAGTATTTCATTTCTGACGAGCTGGTTCCCAACAAGACAATCGTTTCATTCAATTAGCAAACTCATTTATTTTCAAAAGTTCTACAACGATTGTAGTCGTGTACTTGTTTTATGTAAAATAATTCGATCGTGTATCCTGAGATATAGATGCAAACATGTTTTGGAACTTTCAAGTATAAATGTTCTTACAGACTGTATAAACTATAAGTAACGCAAATTATTTAATCGAAATCTATGATATTGTACTTGATCTGTCGTTAACACATTTTATATGCAGCAAGCTAATATCGTAATAGCGCATTGCGCGACAAATTTCTACGTTCAAACTTGGCGCCGAACAGCAGAAGTATCTCGAATGGCCGGGAGCGTGCGCGCGATTGGGTCAGCGAATCGCTACGGGTTCCGACAGTTGGAGTCGAGCCCCGGACGATCGCGAGTGTGCGTCTTTCTTTGATCCTGCTCGAATTGTTTTAGTGGTGAGAACGCGATCTAATTAGTGTATTGTGTGTCTCGTTAACGAATTCGTTCGATCGTCTCGTGCTCGGTACGCCCGACGACGAGCAGCCTCCGTTGAGCCGCCGGCGTGTAAATTCGGAAGACGGACGGTGCCAGCGAGAGAGTTCTCTAAGGTACGTTAATTTACGTCCTCCATGAACACGGATCTGCGGCGAATTTAAATTTGGAACGGGTGCCGGCCGGCGTTCGACGCCGAACGCCAGCCGATTCCGCGTGTCGTTTCTCGGAATACTCGGAATACTCGGGCGGGTCCTCCTCGAGGATAATTGATAATGGAATGATCCAACTCGGCGGGATGCGACGCATCGGGGTATTCGACCGTCGAGAAGTTTGTCGTGACGTTATTTTTGCTCGTAACAACTGTCGCGACCACGATGTTTTCTTGTTTGCCTCGCGAGAGGGCCCCGATCCCCGTCACGGGGCTTGGCTCAATTTCTTGGTAACGAACGCGAACGGTTTTCGCATTTAGCTAAACGAGATCTGCCTTTCGTTCAGAGGTTTTGTCGAATGCGGATGAAATTCCGTTTCTTTCGGCTTCGTCGCTGCGTAATTCCGAGCCTGCTCGGGTCTATGCAGCTCCCTCACCGGGTCTTCGAAGGTCGAATACGCGTGCAGTAGTGGTGTGCGTTTCTAAAATGATTGGCACAAAAAAGGTTCCGTTCCCTCGTCGACGACAGTGTGCGTATGTACAGTCGATGGAAGCGATATGCCGAGGTTATCAAAGCGATCCTTTGTCGCGACAACAAATAACGTTGCAATGGAAAGCTCTTGTCCTCGGAACTTTTTTATAGAAAATACGTAGACGAAGTTACATCGTTGTAGAGAGAAAATTTACGTCTGGGATATCTGTTTGCAAACCCGTCGAATCGTTTGCCCCATTGACCGCGTCCCGATCGAGTTTACAACCACGTTTTATTTGCCTCGACAACTGTACTCACCTTTGGCGCGTACGTAGAACGCAGATGTTTTCGTTTCACGACGTTGCGAAATAGTGCAGTTCCGGGATTACCGTTGATCATAATTTATAATTAAATTCTAATCCATCAGTATCAATCTTTTTTTATATGTGTAAGGGCAATCTATTACTAATACCGAATTTAAACGTTTTACAGCTTAGGCAAATAATTTCGACTGAATCCTACACTCCTCGTTGATTCTAAACGAAGTATTTCAAATAAGAAAGTCATGCTTATTTTATAATAAAAGGTCACACCACTAAAAACGTTTCGTTATTGAACTAGGAAGAAATCTGTACGAATAATTACATGAATTAATGAAATCGTCATTCTGACGAAAACATAAAAGCGATATGCATTAATAACCCGTTCGGTTCATGCTTGATAACTTATCTTTGAATTGAAAAAGTAATGATTGAAATTTCGAATCCGTTTTATAACTTCAATATAAAAATTCTTCGAGACTCATATTCACCTCGCTTCAAAACCGTTTAATAATTTATATCCGTTTTAGCAATACAATCTGTTCATTATATAAGTTTTAATAATGATCATTCGAAGTATTCACATGATTATTTATACTAATTAATTCTTACTTTAAAATGAACTAAGAATTTTTACTCGCTATTAAGTATCAATTTTCCATATAATTATATATAGTCTGCTTGAAAATAGTGTGTAGCTCCTTCATTTTATGAAATATTGCATGGAAGTAAGATTGGTAATCTTTAATTTTATCTGGAACCCATTTTGAACCCACATAAAGTGGCAAGAAAAGTGTATACATAATTTTAATGATTAATTCATACCCGTTCGGTGTATAGAAGTCGTAAATGAATTATAATCTACAAAAATAATATTCGTATCTCTAATGGCGGCCAATTTGCAATTCGCGTTCTGCCCGTATTCATCGTAATCGACGATACAACCTGCCTTTTTAGTCGAACGTTTAGAATGATTAACTTCGGTGCAAAAACTATTGGAATACGGGCCGGTATCTCTAGCAGGTATCTTGCGAGAAAAATACTGACAGCGTGCACTGTTCATTTCTACGTCAATCATATTATTAGACTGCGGATTTTTATGCAGAATATAACATTTATGGAATCGGCTCAAAGAATATATTTTAGGTAAACATTATCATTTGAACATTGCAATATGCATGCAAATTTTGGTACACTGTTTTAAACATTACATGCCGCGTTTATATTTTTGGCACGTTCATGCGTACGTTTATTAGCTACTATATTATTCTGCCTGAACTTGAGAAATATGTAATGCTATCAAGCATTTCGCTGGTGAAACTCCAGACGATTTGATGACAGGTCTGATTACGCGATGTGCTTATGAATCAGGAATAATAGCACCTACGTATTTTTCACTGTAAATGTAATATTGTAATTTTCAGTAACGATGTGTTCTCGTCGTTGTCGCTGTATTGATATTAATACGTTACTAGGGCTAGGACCCCAGTTCCCAGATCATACAAATATAAAAATGTAAATAAAAATATACCGTCACATATGAATATTATAAGGAAAATTAAACAAAAACCATAAACTGATAAGAACAAAATGAACTTAGGAAATTCTACGAAAATAATAAATGCTAATTATGAAATTCTGCCCGAGCATGATATTAAAGAATAAAAAATTTTAATCCACTTTGACAAAGTCTCGTCCAT